GTTAGTTAGGTTGGGTTAGGTTAGTTAAGTTAGGATACGTTAGGTTAGTTCAGTATAGTTTAGGTTAGGTTAGTTAGGTTACGTTAGGTTAGTTCAGTATAGGTTAGGTTGGGTTGTGTTAGTTTAGGTTAGGTTAAGTTAGGTTAGGTTAGTTAGGTTGGGTTAGGTTAGTTAAGTTAGGATACGTTAGGGTAGGAAACCAAAAAATTTGAAAATTTTTGAAAATATTTTTGAATGTAAAATTTATCAAAAAAGTTGTGCGCTCTTTGGACAATTTCTCTGAGGTTAAGTTAGGTTATGTTAGGTTGGTTTAGATTAGGTTAGGTTGGTTTAGGTTAGGTTAGGCCAGGTTAAGTAGGTTACGTTAGGTTAGGTTCAGTTTAGGTTAGGTTAGGTTAGTTCAGTTTAGGTTAGGTTGGGTTACGTTAGGTTAGTTAGGTTAGGTTGGGTTACGTTAGGTTAGGTTAGGTTATCAGACGTTATACTTTGTTACTAACAACTTATTTGCTCAACATCTATAATTTCTCGATTGCATTTTAAATATGTCACACATAAAGCAAGCGTTTCCATATTTTTAACTTTAAAATATAAACTATATATCGCATAGATGTTGTAAGACTATGTTTGAGCTGTCTCCAATATACTTTCACGAGTCCATCTCCAGTGGTTCAGTACTTTACACCACAAACGAGAGCACTGAACATGATCGCCATGCTCTTTTTCTATATTGCAAGGAAAAGGTCCTGATTCTCGGAGAGCAATTATTAAGTGATGCTGATGTCGTGTCTACGTCAACAGTTTGACGATCGCCAATTTTACATTTTCCTCTATCACTAACATCGTCCATGGAAAACTAGCAGATCATTCAGGTTTAATAATGAAACTTTATGTTTTCCGTCTTCATGCTCCACTTTCATTTGATCTCACCTTCTGTATTCTGAATCATTTTCCATTGCTAAATGAGACTGCGTTCAGTTTCTTAAATACTTTGTTAACATTCCCTTCTCATATTCAATTACTTATAATTAATCATTAATATTAATTCAGCTGTTGTTTCTTTTAAAAACTAAATTGTAACAATAATTATTTTTCTGACTCTGTAGTCAGGAATATTACCAAAGCCCGTCTTTTTATCTGATTCTCGACTGGTTCCATATATCTATCTCATGTCCTCAGTATCTTCAATCTAAAGATACACTCTATTTAAATTTTTAATTGTTGATTATTAATCAACAAATCGGTGTATAGAAACGTAATTAAAGACAAATAATTGTGATTACCTGTTTCCATAACCTCAACTGCAGTCAATCAAAGCCCGGAAACAAGTTGATGTCCTTTTATATATAAAAACGTAATAGACGACCTTTAATATTTATGGTAAAACTGGAAGAATGCATAGAAAATTTTGTAAAAATATCTTCATTATTTATGCAAAGTGAGATATTCTTATAACCCATAAAGCTGCTTGTAAGTAACCAATCACTGCCCAGACTTTAGAGTTTCGACACAGAGTGGCGAGTTTGTTCGTTGGACTATTCATATTGCATACTGAGAATTAGTTCATATAATGTGAGTCATCAGAATTTTTTATCATTTTGCGTGGGTATAATAATCTTTTGTTTCAATGTAGTAAGCTTTATTTTTAGTGACGTGTAACAGAATACAGTGAAAACAAAGAGATTCTACTTAGGCAGCTGATATTATTTTATCTTTGCAGTTAAATAATGGATTATCAATCAATATAAGTCTTTTGACGTAAATACGTCTATATTTTCGGGTCAGTGTCATTCGGCAAAAAGTGAAACGAAAACGTGAAACGGAAACGAAACGAAAAAGTGAAACGAAAACGTGAAACGAAAATGTTTTATCAACAAATCAACAATAATGGTCTTAATCAAACTTTACGCAATTGTAAAGCATGTATAAACGAAATATTTAGAATAAAGCCAATATATAAACTTCCTTTCCGTATAGACGTATTCACGTCAAATTCTCCGGAACCGTGGTTCCACTGACAACTTTTATCTATGCTTTCATTCAATTTATATACGTGTCGTAATGGTTCAAGAGACGGCGTTACAGTGGTGTTCTACTGTACTGACAAAGTTAAAACTGCACGCAAAAACTTTCATTAGATACGCCGTAGTGAACTTATTCATTAACAAAATACACTTGTCCGATGTACAATTATGTAAACCCAAGGGGAAAATGGAGATGATGATGAAGACCTGGCTTGTATTCAAAGATTTAAGTCGTAGCAATTTTATTTTAATTTTTCCATTCGTGCTCATTATGTCGTAACATCCTGAGGAATGACAAAATTTCGCTTTAAATTTACACTATTTTGATAAAAGGCTTTCTTTTGTTGGTTGAATAAGACTTGTTTATTGCGTAAATAAATCTTCTTAGTTCTTTGTAATAAGTTACACACTCTGGCTTCTTAACAGCCCAATAAAAGATCACGTTCATCATCTGTGCATTTACATACTTCGAGCAATACTTAATTTATTTAATATAATTGGACCCACCTCGGCTGTTGCAATGAGAATCGATAGCCATGATGATGGAGGCAGCAAGTACCTCGTGTTTGAGCACGTTCTTACGACAGACCTTTGCATGAAGACGTGTCTGACGGACTACGAGGTGCAGTTCGCTCGCGGCCATCTTGCAATTCCCGTGGTAACAGCTGTAGTTAGGCTAGCTCGCCCGAGAGGGAGAGAGGTTTCACTCCGCGCAGACGTACGAAGCTGCTGGTCAGTGCTGATGTGCAAAGCGAGTACAGTGTTGCCAAGCACATGGAAATCAACAGTACTTGCCGATACATGGAACTGCTCACGTTACTATCGCAGCCACAGAGGGCGTTATCATTGTTTCACAAACAATGAATGAAGTCATGTCCATATGGAGGATGTAGCTTTACGAGCGTGAACATGAATCCCTTCTGTGTTTCTGACTGAGTGAGACTAGAAATCGTGTCGGAATGAAACAGCAGCAACAAACAGATCAGCTGTAGCCGGACAGCGATAATACTAAGTTCCACCTGCTTTAATATCCAGCAACTGCTTTTTGCCCAATGTGTGGTATCGCATGATTCTCAGAGAAAACAGTGATTGAAATGAGTGATATTTCTATAACAGTGACTTGATAACTGTTACTAATAACCACGTTTATCGACAATTACTGTATCCTGATCAGATATTGCTAGCGTCACTGTTTACATTTCACTGGCTAGGAGATGCACTTTCCAATAACTGGTTATTTGCAGCAACTGTTTGAATTAGTGGAACTGATAACTGCCATGTCGCTGTTAGTGGAGGTGCCGATCACATTTCAATGTACAGCACGTTTCACTGAACAGTAGCTGAGGTCGGCAGATGAATTACCAGTAACCAGTTTACTGCTGTTATTTAAATAACAGGAACTGGTAGTTGACATTAACAGTTATATTAGTAGCCATTTACATTTCACTGTAGCTGCACTTTCCAATAACTGGTTATTTGCAGCAACTGTTTGAATTAGTGGAACTGATAACTGCCATGTCGCTGTTAGTGGAGATCCCGATCACTTTTCACTGAACAGTAGCTGAGGTCGGCCGCTGAATTACCAGTAACCAGTTTCCTGCTGTTATTTAAATAACAGGAACTGGTAACTGACATTAACAGTTATATCAGTAGCCATTTACATTTCACTGTAGCTGCACTTTCCAATAACTGGTTATTTGCAGCAACTGTTTGAATTAGTGGAACTGATAACTGCCATGTCGCTGTTAGTGGAG